CGGGAAATGCTACATAACATATTGTAATAAGCTCGTTACTATTTAAGCTGTAGTTAGTATTCATATGCAACATATATACCCTTTACAAAATATGGCAAAGACTAATGCATTTTTATTTGATCGCCAATTGAAAGTAATGACATTTCAACGTATCAAAATGATGTCAAATATATTTTTTATCTACGATTTAACTGTGACGTCAATTATTAATCCGTTATGATCTTGTCACTCAAAATGATCTCAACTTGTCTATTTTACTGGCCAGCGTCCTTTAATTGAACGGTAGTGATAAGTAGTAGTTATTGCATTGAAAATTGTTACTAAATTACTTAAACCATTGAGTTAGTTTGTGAACAAGTAACAAAGTGGGCGTGGCTCCTTTATTTTAATCTATACACTGTATAATAAAAATTAATGTGTTTGCGCTTGCGTGCGTACGTGCATATGAAAATAGGATAATAAATATGAACCAAAATGTTCTGACAGGAACCGCGTCACATTCTCCTAATTAAGATTCCAAACTGTCAACTGTATTGTGGCCATTAGCTGCATAAAATAGACATAACAATCGAATTGCATACCGTCATAAGTAACAACTGAACATTTGATGGAACAGAACTAGAAAATAATATAATGTGTTGTCAAGTTAGCAACGCGGTCCACTTAAGTACAGAAAAACACAGCAAGTTTCATAAGACTTTCACAGTGACATACAAATGCATTTCCTAAATATCCAACTAGCGGTCCTTTTTGATAATTAATTTCCCTGGAAGATAAAATCTGTTGTTTTTTAAATCGTTATTATATATTTATTTCCGTCTTGGAGCAATTGTATTGGAGGCAATCCTATATTGATGGGATTGTATTTCTGTATCGTCGGCGAAAGATGTACATTGTGAATTTTAAAAAGTGACGGCCAAAGAGCACTACCCTGAGGGCTTCCACTGGTTACCGCCAAATTTAAACAGTCGAAAACCATTGTTCAAAAGAAATACCAATGGATTGACTTTTCGTCAGGATCTTGGATAATCATATATCAATACAAAAGAAATTTCAAAAGCTGAACCGGAAACCATTTAAAGGTACCGTAAAATATATTTATAAATTGACCGAGACTGTTTTTGTAAAGTCGAGTGTAACGGAAAATGAAACCAAACAATTCGAATTGACTAGTCGTGAAAAATCTGATTCGCTATGTAAATAGAAAATATGCATTAAGGTACTGAACAGCCCTGGGATATAATGGGACCACTATGTTCTGATTGCTCTAATTGTTCCACCAAATGCGCAGATGTTTATGATAACAAAAGATAATGTTGGCCTTTTATAAACGAAAGTGTTCATTGAAGAAGCGTTTATTGATTTTTGTTCTATCTATTTTTTAAATGTAAATGAAGCTTATGAATACCGTTAATTATCCGAATATTGGATTGTATTAATAAACTAATGCGTCAAGTTGTAATTTTTATACGCGACTAATTCCAACCGAACGTAAATCAACGATTCGTGATTGAAGTCCTAGTTTAAATGTCAGAAACTAACTCTTGTTTAAACTAAAAACTTTGCTGTCTTTTTATTGTACTAAAATGTCAGTGGTAGCATTTGAGTCGGCATTCATAAGTAGAATTAATTTGTCGTCCTTACCCAGGTTCTATTCACGTTGCCAATGCATGCTGACTTAACCATTACAGTGCGGTCGATGAAATTTACAATTTTGTTAAAGCACATTTCATGAAGACCATTTCCATCCACGAAGAGGATCTGATTCGAACATATTTGGAAGATTTTTGGATGTTAAACCATTTGACCCTTTGGCTCCACCACCCAGGTCCTAATGGAGAGCCCTATCTGTTAAACTCTATCCCCATCTAAGGTAAGTGATTACAACAAAGTTTCATCAAAATCTGACATATAATTTTTGAAGTAAAGTCAAAAATATGATTGCAAAGATTTTGCATTAAGTGGCCCCTATGAGCTCCAACACCCACACAAACCCCTGACATGGTCAGCCCTTCCTGGGTTATAAATTCTGATTCTCTCATATAGGCATCATGTTATGAAAAATTGGTTAAAATCCGCTTGTGAGTTTCAGGGGAGACATTTTTTGAAGGTTTTGCCCTCTGTGCCTCCATATGGCCCCGCCTCTCAGCTTCCTCAGGGGTCAGACCTATCTTGAGTATAGATTATGATTTCTGATATGGGCTTATAGTAACCACAAAGCTTCGTGCAAATCTGACGAACGGGTTTTGAGAAGAATCGACAGAGTTTTTGTTTACGCACGACGATAACTGATCGCAATACGACTACTATTGGGTCATCTGAGTGACTCGGGTAACCTATTAAAACTACTGGTCTGAAGGCTAAGAACACTTTAACTCGAACGAGTTGTTCGTCTCTTTAAGATGTAACCGGGACCTATATTAGGTAAATAGTACCACTCAGACCTTATCTATTTGATGATTGCCTACAGATGATGGTAATTCTGCATCTTGTGACATCCTTGACTTGTAGTCCATCACTGCTGTCATTCTTGTCGCGAAGCCTCATTTGACGTCATCAGGTGATGGCCATCCCTCTTCAGATGTTTCGACTCTTAATAACTACATACTCCGGCTGGTGTGTCAGTAGTGGTGGTCAAACCACTACTCGTCTATGTCGGCTTCCACATAGGCTCTTCTCGTTTGTGCCATAGCCAGCACGATGCTCTCTCTGCAGCTTGTCACAATCGTCTGATGGCGGTAGCTCTTGCCCTCCCAGTGAGTCCTGTCGACTGTAGTGTCCTCCACACTGACTGTGCGGGGAAACCTCTACAGCCAACCTCCACTGGAAAGAGCCATACTGTCCATCCTCTGCTCCTGTACTTTTCCATCAGCTCATCATACTTGGCTTTCTTCCTCTCATGAGCTTCCTCGCAGCCTTCCTCCCATGGTTCGGTGAGCTCTATGGCGATGAGGTTTCTGGATTGCTCTGTCCATATTACCATGCCAGGCCTCAGTGTTGTTTCCACTACTCCTGGAAACACAAGCTTCCTTTCAAGGTAACCTTCATCTCCCATGTTGGCGCCCGTTCCAAGATGGATGAGGTGCTTCGAGGCTTCACTGTGGCTTTCTCCCCTGGTTTCACAAACTTGTTACCAGCCTGGTTTGTTCTTACACCAGTTCTTTTCTTCATTCTCTCCACTTCAAGGATATCTGCTAGGACCCGCAAGACGTTGTCGTGCCTCCATCGGTATCTACCCTGTCTTAGTGCTTCTTTGTAACCAGACAAGATATGAGCCATTGTTCCCCTTCCTCCGCATAGCTTGCAGCAAGGATCCTCCGTCAATCCCCACTGATGCAGGTTACATGTAACGGGAGATGGTAGCGTGTCATACACGGATCGTAGCAGAAATGATATCCGGAAGGGTTCCATTCTCCATATTTCAACCCACGTCATCTCCTCTCTGGGAGATTCCATCTGATCCACACTCCCTGTTTGCTGAGTTCCACAGATTTCCCTCTCCTCTTTTCTCCTCAATCCTTCTGATTTCTCTCTGCACCATTTGCCGTCCTTCTTGGGTATTTGCATTGTCCCACTGCTGGAAATGAGGAAAGCCAACTCCTTGTCTTCTGACGCAGGTGTTCCCGATGGTATCCTTTAATTCGAGCATACTCTCTGCTTCACCAACTGCAGTGCTTGCTGACCACTTTCTCCCTGTTCTTGTCTGTATCCCTGCCTCGCTGATTTTCACGTCTTTGGAGTCCCTCAGAGTCATCACCAGCGTGCATTTTGCTACCTTGAACTCTTCAACGACCGATATGAATGGTAGTTGTAGTTCTGACGAACAACTGTACAGCCCAACTGATGTGAAACTTGGTGGGACCCCAAGCCACTTCCGCAGTTACCCATACACTATTTGTATTGTTCTAATTGTCGTAAAACATTTCGATTGTTTCCTATTGCATAACATACATATTGGAAAAGATGAATGCATTTTTCCATTGTCTTTTTTATATAATTGAGGGAATAGCTTTTAAATGATAGAAACAATTGAATCTATGGCACAATTACCGCACATTTGATTAAAGTCTAACGCCATTGACTAACCTTTCTGCTTCCTCGACTATCAATTAACATGTATAGAAGTTTACAACTTCTACAAAATTCCCAATGTTCATGAATTGTATAGATTGTATAGAGTCACGTTCTTTCCAGTACAAGTACCTACACACACACCTTCGGTTTTCGAGATATTTCGTGATTTGTAATTCAAAAGAATGATTATTTATATATTTAACAATGAAACGTATGCAGTGGATATGTCGCCGAAACGAAACTTGTTATTTTTTAATTCTTGGAAGTGTTGACTAAAGCCTTGATACGTGATGTGCAACATCCTGGCACAGTATTTGTGAAATGTGTTTGAAACTTGTCGATAAAATGATGTGTATATGCCGACAATTATTGAAATATTTAATAGTCAACATTCTATACTCTATCGTTTGTATAAAGGAGGGGGAAGGAACTCTTACTTAGAGTGAAAATAGAACGTCAAGACGCTAAGATTCGAAGGACTCACAAAACTAAATTATTTAGCTTTTGAGCTAATAGCTTTTATATATTAATTTCAACACTAGTGACAACTTTTTAGATTCATAATAGGCTACATTTCCACCTCTGGGATTCCTTGTGTGTGCATGCTCTCATACATACTTGTTATCCTGTCTGGAAAGATAAAATGTTGCTATGCTACATATTTCAAATGAATAACAAATTGGACGTGTTGTAAAGTCGTTATTTTACTGAAGCAAATTTCCATGAGCTGGCTGATTCTTGTAACGTCACCTCTGCAATGTAAACAGGAGCGGCATTAACCTCCATTGGATAATAGCAGCAAATATATATGTATTCAACAGCATGCGCGCTCAAATATGTACAACGCGAAAACCTGGAGTTGGTGTTGTTTTGTTATCTAGAGATTTAAAGATAACACTCGTTTCGCATTTTTATTGTTTTATTCACAGAAAATTAAACATGTACAAATATGTTTTACAAAATTAATTAAGCACAAATAACTGTAACCTGGCAAGTTGACCAAAAAGAATATCTTATTTACCTTCAGTATGACAAAAGCTGTTTTTTAATTTATGTTACCTAATTTATGTACTTAAACATGCATGGTATGAAATGAAGTCCCGTTAATAACTTATGTATGAATAGGAAAGAATGACAAGTGAAACATTATTACTATAAATATGTATATCGTTAATTATTGTGTGTTTTCGATAAAATAAGCTACAGAACACTGTTAAATGTTACTTGACCTCAGATAAGTCCACAACTTAGTGGCCTATCAAAACTCTGATAGTGACCAAAATCGTTATCAAATTTAGTCATTTCTTGATACAAACGAAGGCATGGTTCCATATACTACAATGTAACACGTGATGACTTTGTACACGCAGCCCGCAGTCACTTAAGAAGTTCTCGGTGTTTTCTACCAGATACTCGCTCCTAGGAACACTCGGCAGCCCGCTTGGTAAACAGTACCAATACGACACGGCAAGGTCGTACGCAGACTCAGGAAACCTTTTGTCAGATGGGTTGATACTAACTTCCGGTTCGATGTAGATGATTAAACCATCATCTTGTAATATTCTCCTTGCCTCCAAAATAACTTCTCTGGTATTTGTGCCGCCGTGAGGGACTGGTTGGAATAAGGTAGCTACGTCATACACCGTGCTCCAGCTCGGTGGTAAGTCGGCAATATTCGGAACAGTAAAGAATGCAGTGTTATGTACATCAAACGATTTATCGATACAGCGTTGTGTGTTGATTGGGGATACATCACAACCGTGTATTGATTTTGTTGCAAATTCCTCTGCCAATCTGATGGTAAAATCTCCCTGGCCGCACCCAATGTCTAATACTCTCCTGAAGCTTCCTAGTAAAATATGATAAAATAACAATGGTAAGTGTTTTGCACCCAAGACAGATAACTATTATAACAAATTCTGTACCGATATAGTCCATAGTTGTAAACATGAATCACTATCACGAACACTTGTATTTTCTCAAAGTTATTATTTATATTGTCTATTCTGCTTGCACCGAGTTATTCCTGCATTCATACGTAATTACATTTTATTCACACATAACGTAAAACTACTGTAAAGTTGAGTAACTGCCTCATGCCATTATGTGAGATAAGGATATTTTTAAACATGATAAAACATTTTTACTTTAGAGTCAAACTGATGAACTGACAAAATGATACAAAGAAATCAGCATTCATTTGATTTTTTTGTAATAATGAATGAAAATAATATGCAACATATATATAGCGCCCTATACTTAGCTTTACAAGGGCTCCATCAATGGTGATGTTTATGCCCTTTGGACCCTGTGCAGAGGCGTGAACAAAGGGGATTTCTTTTGGCAGGGTATACGATAAAATGTTAAAAGCTGGTGTATGTACTAGCGTGTGATGAGGGCTTCAAGGGCTGTATATGGTATGTGTGCCTTGAAATCCTCGAGTGTGGTGGATTGAACTGCTGCTATGGGAAGGACATTCTATTGTGTTATTGTGTGTGGGAAGAATGAATATTTGTAGGTGTCCTTTGTAGCAGATATGTGTTTGTATGCGTAAGGATGTGCATGTCTGGTTCGAGGGTCTATATTCGAGGGTCTATAGGTGTGAGTATATATGTTTGGTTTAATGCTACGAGTTGGTAAACTATTTCATAAAAAAGGATTATTATTGTGTGAAGGCGTCGTGTTTGTAGTGTTGGCCATTGTAGTTTGTGGATCATGTCTGTTACTGAGCTGGTGTTGTTTTTATCTGTAGTGTTGACCATTGTAGTTTGTGGATCATGTCTGTTACTGAGCTGGTGTTGTTGTATCTGTAGTGTTGGCCATTGTAGTTTGTGGATCATGTATCCGTTACTGAGCTGGCGTTGTTGTATCTGTAGTGTTGGCCATTGTAGTTTGTGGATCATGTCTGTTACTGAGCCTGTGTTGTTGTATCTGTAGTGTTGGCTATTGTAGTTTGTGGATCATGTATCCGTTACTGAGCTGGTGTTGTGATATTTGTTGTTTACGTTGCTCTCCGTTATGTTTTTATTATTTTTTGAATTTGGTTTGTGTTGTGTGGGTCCCAAATAGAAGAGCAATATTCAGGTTTTGGTCTGACTAGTGTTTTGTATGCATCTTCTTTTATATGTGCACTTGCACATTAAACTCAGAGAACTTTGTAAGGACACAGGGCACTTCATTCATCAACTTATCATCATTCACATCTGCAGTTTTTTTTTTATTTAACTTCAAATGAGCTCTATGCCTACTGCTGACGGGTGCTCGACTAACGAGTGTCTTTGATGGTTACTATGGTTACTAATAATTTGAAACAGTGCGGACATAAACTTTTTGAAACATATAATGTGTTGATTATTATTAGATTCTAAATATATATTTTCGTTACAACAAAATCAGCTGATCGGCGGAGGTCGAAAATTTGAAGTTTGTGTGGGCTGGAGTTCTGGCTGTTCTTTTTTTATGGTTTTCTGTCCGATACTAATATGTAAAAATATTAGATTTACAGAAGAAAGTGTGGTAACTTTTTTTTATTGTAGTTCATCGTAACGTGAATATTTGAATTGAATGGATTTTTTCATGTACATTGCGGCAATGAATAGCAGTAGCTGATCGTGACGGCTTATACAGGGTAACAAGCTCCTGTAGGTACTGGGAAGCTGTTCCATTCAGTGCCTTGTATGTGTACAGCAACATTTTGTACCTCTACCTGTATCGTACAGGTAGCTAGCTGCAATATATATAGCACAGGTGTGATGTGCTCTCTCTTTCGAGTATAACCTATAAATAAACTGCTTCTGAATGGCTGCTAAACCATCTTTAAAAAACATTATTGAAATTTGACTTAAAAACGCTTTAACTTTAGCAAAATAAAAAAAGAATTTCATATTTGTATATTGTAGCATAACAATTTCTGAGTAAGTATGTGAAAACGTTTTCCTAACCTTCACTCTGTTCAATCGTAGCCTTTACAAATTCCAGTACCTCGTCTAAAATGACAGCCCGCCAGACTAGGTATCGCTGTTCCGGTGTATAACCTAGTTAATTACAATATTGTGGCATTAACAATGGTCTGTTGTCGTTAGCAGAATAGTCTACCTAAACAAATTGAAATGATATTGTAAAATTATATTGGCGTCACATCGACATGGAGAAATGTATACATGTATTGACAAAAGGTAAAAAATCAAGTGACAACTTTTACTGTCGTGATGAAGAAGACATGTGTTGGCTTTTATATCATATTGTTTCCATTTTCTTTTTCATTTTTTTTCTGACGTCTAATTGGTACATAAGATGGAAAATGGAAGTAAACAAAATGCATTTACTGAAACCTAAGGTCGATATTTATTTTAATTATCTGTCGTATCGCGTCGATACGACCAACCAGTTGTTGTCAATAAAATCATATGAACAAAATCCGTCTTCTCGTTCTTAATGTTCTAATGTTATGGAGACTATTTTTTATCATCAAATATTCTATGATTCTATAATATGTATCATTGACCGCAGTTTCGATATGTTTCGTATACTATAGTAATGTAAAAACGTATATTTATAGTATATACAGATTAATAAGACATGTAAGGGTACATAAAAAAAATCTAAATTTACAGTCATCAATGTTTGCTACTTTGCAGCCATATGTATATATCACCATTGTTTTAAAGGAGAAGACGGATTTTAAGTTTTTCAACTTGTACGTCTTTTCCCGTTTGTATTTTTGTAAATGAAATATGTTTGAATCAAATCAAATATTCAGCTCAGCCGAATATTATTTACATAAGATGAATTTTGTATATACATGTACCTTCTTGACCGCCAATCTTTGCGCATGCGTGCATAACGTCGACAACATCTTCAAGTTCAGGGGCTATCATACACTCACTAATGATGTCATTCAGGTCCTCGACGCATTCCCCTGGTATATAAACCTCTCCTTCGTCTCCAAGCTCGAGAACATGCGACACAACAAGAGATCGTACCATTGCGGAAACGTAACTGTATATCAAACAGATATTGTATAAACACAAAGTGCGTATATTATTTCATGCTCGACGTTTCTAGGGTCATGAGTCCTTACTCTTTAATTTCAATAGTTTGTTATTCCAATCAATCAATAGACACTGACTATCAAATGAGATTTTAATGCTTCAATATACCAATACATATTCAGGTACGTTAACAAATATCTATGCATAGAAAGAATGAGTTAGGTGATTAAAAGAAATATATATATACATATAAACTTTATTTATCTTAAAAAAATTAAGAAACAAGTTATTTAAACTTATATTAATCACTCTTGCTGGCCTGGATGTTAGCGGGCTGAGGGTATGTGGGAGGAAACCAGAGTACCCAGAGAAAACCCTTGTGGTTGGGCAGGTGACCCCATGCCTTTTCACGTCAGATCGAGGAATCAAACCCCGGCCGCCTTGATGAAAGGCAAGTGCGCTATCCACTGCACCAGCCAATTGACTGTTGGGCGATTCACAGTTCGAAGTTTGTATAAGCATCGGTTCATCCCTTTTACCTTAAAATTCCTTATTTCTCATACCATAAATTTCAGAAGCGTGATGTTCTTATATGAAGATGTGTTTAGTGCTTGTGTTGAAAAGAACATTTAAATAATATCTACGAATCAAAGATCAAAAATGTCAATTTGACAATTTTGCCCCATTTTTCAAATTTTGGCATAACTGTAACGGATATTTGTTAGACCATGAATATAGAAACAATGAGAAGTTGTCCTTATTTGAATACGTGGTAGTTTCTCATTTTCTATCAGTGATTTTGCGTACGTTACGACATAGGACTAAATTCTTACCTTTCTTTTAATCCACTGTTAAGTGCAAATTCCTGGGTTTTGATGCTGTATTCACCATTTCTAATGCCATCGAAAAGTCCGAGATTATCATACCATTTTAAGCTGGATTCCAGTAGCTTGTCTGTCTTCACAAATCGCAGATATCGCCTGTACAGATCTCTGCCTCTCAATTCCATTTCTTTTCATCAAATTGCTGACGAGTGATAAATATGCATATACTAAAACGTGAACAAATTCTACGTTTGCGAGCTTTCGAAAACGCCTGTTTCCTTTGTCAAGCAAAGAGTGTCAAATCAAAATCTGTAGAACATTAACAATCAACATCTTAGTTAAGCATTTAGTATGTTAATTAGGAAATGTAAATCCCGTCTTGTATGAACAGTATTTTATATAAAACATCTGTTTCTATTATTATGTAAACTTATTTATAACAATACAACGTACAAAATCCTGCCCCAAGCTACATATATTTCCCATTACAATAATAACTTAGAAACTTAACATGCTGTTACTTTCGAAAGCCAACTTCTCCACTACAATACTTGTGTGTATTTAATGGCAATGAGGAGCCCAACTGACCATATAGACCACTACACAGGAAGGAAACCCCGGGGGCTTCACGGAAATGCAGATGTTAAATTGTATACGTTTAAATGATTGTACAGTACACGATTCTGCATATCTATACATATCTAGTAAATAGAATAATCGAGTTAAATAAATTATTGCCTCTTTCTCCAGGATTTTAAATGAACAACATCAGGATGAAAGATAATAACCTTGTCAAGTGGAGTTACTCTAAGCCGGAAAAAGGACTCGCTATTGTTACTTCCGATAATCTATGTAAGCAATGAATGTTTTAGCAAGTGTTGTTAGGGTCATATTACACACAATGCTATTGATGACAAACTTAATAAAGCCCGGCAGAGCTTTATGTAAGTTTGTCAGCAATAGAAATATTCATTATTTATATTAATATTTCGATGGAATAGTTATGCTTTATTAAGTTGAAATAAATATTGATATATATATATATATATTGAAATGATATTGTCGAATATTGAAAGATGTCAAGTATCCTTCAGATACAACAATATTACAAGCAAACTTGTCTTTGTTCGACATTATTTTTTAGTCTATGACTTGATGTTTTCAAGGCAGTTACACGGCGGCTTGGGTTAAATGGGACAATGTTTAAATACATGTATATCGAATGAATAAATAAATAAGACATGCTGTGATAAACAGCAGCTATCTCTTTATCAATATATTCTTTCGGTGTACGCGTTAATTTCGAGGAATAATTCTATTTAGATCGATACTGAAATAGGACAATATTATGTAAATACCCTAGATACAAAATCAGGGTAAACTCGGCGCTTAAGTGTTCATCTGAGTCTTTATCGATATGTTCCCGTCCTTATGAAGACCATGCGTTAAAATCTCAGCTTTTGTTAGTCGCATACTGTCAAAGCTGTAAATTCGATATCCTTTGTTTAAATTATCGTCTAGGACACTTCTTTAGTTTGAAATATCCAGTATCGAACAGACCTAAATCATATATGAACTTTTAAGGTGCTCAAATGCAAACAGTTTGATTGAAAATTAGTGCAAATTTTAATCATTTAAATGTCTTTTACAAAAAATTACTACCCAGACATCATATTACGAAACTTGTGTAGCTCAAAAAGTGTGATTTCTAGAAAGCACTGTAAATAGACGGGAAGCAAACTCTATGAAACAATACCCTATGTACACATGTATAGTTATCTCTATTGGTGATTTGTTCTACTTTATCGACAATCTTCTGTCATTAAGAAACAGAACATTTATTAAACACGTCAATGGTATAAGGGTCTTGAATTTGAAATCAAGAACCCTGAACACTTTTATATGTCAGCAGCTTACCCCGAACATTAATTTAATCTCCGGCGATCGACCCACTCCAGTTCCGTTACTTACCTTCCTGCTTTCAAACCCGAAGGCACACCTGATCCTTTACCACCCTCCATGTGTACATTTCGTTGGGCACCAAATATGACAGGAGAAGAAAAATGCACGGCCAGACCTAGTCTAATACACTATGATGAGTGTGTTAAATTCATATTGTTGAATTGCATAGTTACAGCTATATTTGGACCTTAGCTAATGTGTATAGAGTAATTTTACATGTTTTAGGGGTTCAGATCGACTTTCGCTGGGGTCGACATCGAGAGCTTTCATCCCTTCTCGTACATGTGATCATTGTGGTTGTCAGTTTTACCGAAAGTCGATCTAAACCCCTAAACCTGTAAAATTACCTTGGACACATTAGCTAAGGTCCAAATATAGCTGTAACAAATTATCAGGTCCCTGTGGTAACCACTTCCCATAACATTGTCAGTCCACCATTTGGTAAACCAGTTGGTTAAAGACGGGGCCCTTACTGACCTGTTAGTGTTCTAGTTATATACTATAATGTTTTTAAAGTTTGTATAAGTAATTAGTAAAAATGTTTTTTTTCTGTACAAGTAAATAAATACCATGGGATACTGTATGTAGATAAAAAAAAAACGACTGATCATGACATAACAGAGTTAATACTTAAGGAATGATTTTTATTTTTTCAACATTTATGAGGTCATAACAACAATGGGTTTATGGACATATTGAATGAATCGCGTTAGCGATTCATGTAAAATATGTCCAAAAACCCATTGTTGTTATGACCTCATTAATGTTGAAAAAATAAATATCATTCCTTATATTTACATTGACGAATCCTTTCAGTGGATCGATATAACAACGAATAAAACAAATAAACAGGGTTTGTTCCTGCTTATACACGGGTGCAACGCAGTGGCGAGAACAGTGTTTTTCGCGGGGAAATGTGACACTATCGTGAGAGATCTTAGCAACCGTCAACAACAATAACACAACAAAATGTAGTTCCATATTCAATGTTTATTTGTAGAACAGGACACGTGAATATGTGGATATTTCACAAAGCACAGTTCAATAATATTTTAAGATGTAAGAATTAAGCATCTAGTTCGGTCGTTCCGAGTGAGTAGTTTTTGTAGTGTATAACTACGCAGTGTGATCAGGTTACTATCAGTTCCCACGTGCTGAGATTCTATGAACACCTGTGTTATGCATTTATGAATGTAATTTTTGTCAATGGGTCTAAGCATACAGAATGTAAATATATATATGTATTTTAATTCTTTATTACTCTTCGGTTCATTCTTGTATGTTTTGCACATGCTTACCATTTGATCCGAATACATATGAGATGTTTGTATGTGTAGAAGAATTGTCTTTATTTTTTTTTTGAATTTATTCCTTAAACTAAGACCTCTGTGAAGATATCAGTGAGGATGACAAGTAGAAGTGGATAAATTACAACCTGTTCTTCAAGACCGAATAGAAAAATCACAGAAGTGCCTAGCTTGGGTAAGTTCTACCAAACAGACTGTTCAGGACTGGTGGGTAAATAGCATTTGATTTGAAGCTGCATACATTGTATGCATAGCTTTTAGACCCCCCTTATTAGGAGGGAGACTCCCTCAATTTGACAAAAAATTACCAATCTCCCTCGAAACTCCCTCCTCAAGTCCAAACTCACACAAACTCATAATCTACATCCTATGTGTTATTTTGATACTAAAAAAGGGAAAGATAAATTAAGTTAAGCCGTTTCAGTCTCTTTTCACGGATTTTCTCCCTCATTGAAAATGTGGAATGAGGGAATTTCCCTCATTGGAGGTTTCAGAGTTTGACACCTATATGTGTTTGAAAACTGCAATAAATCATAAGTTGCCATTTTATATTGTTTTAGACAGCAGTTTGATAGCAGTTGATAGAATAACTTGTCTTCTGTTGGCATTGGCATATATGTGATGCCATGGTGAAAGACAAGCTAATGACATTCAAGCAGTGGGGTTGGTAATAAAGAGCAATGTTTTTTTCTATTGCAAACAAAATATAGTAATTTTTCAGACAACATATGCGAGATAATTATAATTTCAAAATCATGTAGTTGTTGATTAGGAGTTCTTTAACTGGTCAAGAATATAGAACGTTGTGTTCTAATGATAATTTTAGCAACCTTTGGATCTTGCCCCTTATTCTGAAAACTTGTTAAGAATGTATGCCCACATCTACAAATGATGAATGTGTTGGTATATAGCTTCTTCATGACAGAAAAAACTTAAAATAACCATCTGACATGTGCCTTTTCTTTATCTATGTTCCCCGAAAATTTTCAGGGGAGCATATAGTTGCCGCTTTGTCCATCCGTCCGTCTTTCCATCTGTCCTTTCCTGTCCGCAGCATAACTTTACCCACATTTAAGCTAGGATCACGAAACTTGGTTTGTACATCAGTCATACTAAGGCAATGTGCACCATACTAAATTCAGGGCTCACATCCTCTTAATTACAGAGTTATTGCCCTTTCCTAAAATGTCGTGTCCTGAGCACACATTTGCCTGCAGTTAAGCCAGGATCATGAATCTTGGTGTGTACATCAGTCACACTAAGTTGATGTGCACTGTAAGGTATTTAGGGTCTGCAGTCCCTGAATAATAGAGTTATTGCCCTTTTCTAAAATATTGTGTCCAGTGCATAACTGCCTGCATTTAAACTAGGATCATGATCATGTTAAAACATAATTTTTCTGCTTCCAAACTCCCCATTTCTTCCAAACTCCCAAACTCCCCATTTCTTCCAAACTCCCAAACTCCCCATTTCTTCCAAACTCCCCATTTCTTCCAAACTCCCAATTTCTTCCAAACTCCCCATTTCATCATATGTTTACCAATATGTGTCATAAATCTAACCAAATGCAAAATTCACAAACAGGAAAAGCCTCCAATAAAGTTGTTTTCGGGGAGCATACATCAGTTCCTCTGATACTCTTGGTTTTTTTACAGCCTCCATCCTATAAAGTGGAGTTGGTTGGGGGGAATATAGTGTATATGTTTCCGTCCTATCTCATCTCATTTCCGCGACTCTACTGACTTCATTTCTTAACAATGTTTATACAGATGTCAAGTACAAAAATACCTCGGATGAGTTCCTATTTCAGGGTCTGAAGGTCACTACCAAGGTCACTGTTGCTATGTATGGGTCAACCATTGCTATGTGGTCAACAGATTCGTTGTCACCAGTTTATTGACTTCAGTGGGAAGGGGCATTCATGTCTGACAGACATTTTATACATTTTGTAGTTTTATATGAGAACACATATATTAGCTTGTGGCTTACAGTTTTAGGTTTAAATAGCAACATGTCTTGCAAATAGTCTGTGGTAATTTTAAAACATTTAAAGCAATAACTTTCTTGATTGTATGTTTTTTCAGCTTTTAAAGTCTTAACTGAAGATATCTGTTTGAACTGATCAATCAAGAATAAGTTTTAACTGAATGATGAGAATATGATCCATGTACATTTAATAAAATGATCAGCATTTTGTCAAAACTGATGCATTTGATTTGTAACTCCATGAATTTTGTTTGAACTGCTCAACTTTAAAAGGATTGTTTCATTCTGGCTAAT